AAAAAGAACAAAACACTCAAGAAAAAGAAATTGAATGCTTTTTGTTGTTGTTATTGAGACAGAGTCCCACCCTATGCCCTGAGCAGAGTGCAATGGCATCATAGCTCACTGCAACCTCAGACTCAGGGTGTGGGCATCCCACTGCCTCAGCCTCTGGAAGCTGCTGGGATTAGAGGTGCTTGCTTCAGCGCCTTTTCCATTTTTTTAGGAGTTGGGGGTGTCACTCTCGCTCAGGCAAGTCTCAAACTCCTGAGCTCAAGCAATTCTCCCTCCTCAGCCTGTAATCCCAGCATGGTGGGATCACAGATGTGAGCCATTGCGCCCAGCAAAATTGAGCGATTGTTAAGGGCTTACTAAGTGCCAGGAACTGTATCAAGAGCTTCTGACAACAGCAGCACCATGGTAGCTTTAGTGAGGTACATACATGTTACTCTTTTTCTCTTTTTATACTTGAGGAAACTGGGGCACAGAGAGGTTAAGTAACTTGCCTGTGGTCACACAGCTGACAAGTAGACAAGCCAGGATAGAAACCCAGGCAGAGGGAAGCCTAACAATGCAACAGAGATTCTGAGATCACTCAGAGCCTGTCCTGCCCTTCCAGAGCTGATAGTCCAGTGAGTAAATGTGGTCAGATGGCTGTGTGTCCTGTGTACCCTGAGTGTACTCAGGAGGGGTGCTGTGCTCCCCGAGCTGCCTGTCTCTGGCCCTTCCTAGACAATCAATCAGGCCTGACCCTGTGACATCTGTTCTATTCTTATCTGTTTCTTCCTCGTCTTATCTTGTCCTGTTCAGAAAATTACCCAGATGTAAAGTGCCAGCAGGAGCCCTGTGAAATTGCTGATATCCGTTTGGTTTTGACGTACAAAAATGACTTTCTTGTGGCTCAGCCTGATGTTTATATCCTAGGGAGTTGTCAGTCCCCATTTTTGTGGACACAGGTCACACTGCTGTGTGGGGGTGCTAAGCACAGTGTAGGGCACAGGGCAGCCATGGAGACCAAGCCCTCCTCCCCTACCTCAAAGCCAGATGGTTCTGTCCTTGCCTCCTGGGTTCATGGAAGGACATGGGATGGTAGTTTATAAACTGCTAAGCACGGTGCCTCCCATAGTAAACTAAGGGCTTAGTTTAATGACAACAGTTGCAAAGAGGCCAGGTCTGGTCTTGGGCGACTCCTACCCTCAGACCCTGCTCCTCCCCCTGCCCCTGCCACTCACCAATGACGATGACCGGGAGGGGCTCCAAGCTGCTGGCACCAAGACGCTCCTTCTTTGGCGAGCTCATGACTGTGGCTGGTGGGGTGTTTGGCCTTGGCAACAGACCTGGGGGGCAGAGGGAAGAAAGGGTTACTCAGATCAGGCTTGAGTGTCATGCAGCCACATCCCAGCAACGGTAGACCACAGTCAGGCCCCAGGTCTCCACCAAACCACATCATGTGACTCCTCCTGTCCTGCCGACACACCCTCCTTGCTTAACAGGCCTGTGTCCCCACCACCCCATCAAGGCATGCCTGCCCTTCACTGCCCTGTCACCACCAGCCTCCAGGTCTCTGGGCCTCATGATGTTCTGCCCATCTTCTCAGCAGGGCAGTTACAACAGCTAAGCCTGCCTTCCTCTCCCCACCCAGCACTTCTGGGGTGGCTGCAGCCCCTAGCACACCCCAGCCCTCAAGTCTGAGCATGGCCTGGTGGACCTTGGAGTTGTCACCTGGCCTGGAAAGTTGCTTCCTTGCAGGAGGCTGTGGCCCGTTCCTGGACCTCTCTGGGTCTCACTGTCCTTATCTGTAAAATGGGAATCATCAAGAGTCCCTGCTGCATGGGGTTGTTGAGAGACAGAAACATCTCCCCGGAGTAAATTTGCCACGGGAAAACGTCCAGTTTGTCTTCTCCAGGGGCTGGGCTAGAACCCATGGACTCAGAGAAACTATGGAAGCAGGACCAGCTTGGCGTAGGACAATGTGGGTAAACTCTGCTCGTCTCTGGAGCACCGGCACCCCCTGCTGGCCTTAGGTCCAAATCACTCAAGGGACCCAATTCTTAGATTCTTAGAGCTGCAGGTGCTGAGGGGGGCCAACCTGCCTTCTCCCCCAAACCAGCTAGCAGTGAGCGTGGGCACTGGCCTCACCCTCCACCATGCACCATCCTCAGTGCTGCTACCTGAGGGCTACAAGGCAACACCCGGGTGGGAGTGAGGGACGGTGGTGTTTAGCATTTACTCTGCACTGGGATTCTGCCCTGGTTTGTCTCCTCCCTACACTGACCCCAGGCAGGCAATCCTAGTAGTCAGCCCTTTCCACTGAGCTGGGCTCAGAGAGCCCGCACAAGCTGCTTGGTGGTGCAAAGCTAACTTTTAAGCCCAGGCTTGCCTGTGACCACCACCTACACCACTCAGCTTGTCCCCAGGGAACTCAGGCCCAGTGAGGGGCCAGACTCACAGAGAAGAGGAGCAAGTGGAGATGTGTCTGGACCACCCAGAGTGAGCAGGGGTGTGGCTCGGGGTCACTGGCCTCTAACTCTTCCAGAGAAGGCAGAGATCTAGATTTTTATGTGGTTTGACTTGGAAAAGTGGGCAACTAATTCTCATTTCTTGAAAATCTTTTAAAAGGCTGATGAGACACAACTGGGGACAACATGTGACCTCAGATGTGTGTACTGGTGGGCAAGTCCCAAGCAGACAGATGTGGGACAGCTGCACAGATAGGCTGGTCAGAGGGCCTGGGTGTCACTCCCACAGTGACTACAACTGACCTTCTCACATTACTCTACAGTTTGCAAGGAGCTTATCCCTAAGAATCACCTTCATTTCTCTTGACCTCCCTGTCCTGTCTGGCAGCACCCAACCCTTCCTCCTCCCTTCCTGGGGACCACATGGCCTTCTCTGTGCCCAGTTTCCTGCAGGTCTCCATGCTATCTGCCTGGGGTGGGGATTTGGGGTAACAAGACCACCAACAAGAACAATAATGAAGCACATGGCTCACATTTCTATACTTCCTTGGAGTGGGCTGGGTGCCAAGCATGTTCTAACCACCATGTACACATTAACAAATTCTATCCTTCTTTAACTGGCTTGTTAAAAGTATTCTTCTAATCACTCCCATATTA